ACCGTATATGAGATTGGGGGAGAGGAGACAAGGAGAGGGCAGAATGCCTTCATATATTGATGTTGCTGGCTTCATAATTTTGTGGTCAGTTTCTAATATGAGGAAATAGTTGTACTGGAATGGGCTCTGCGCCCCCATATTTTGGATGAGAAAAATTCCAGATAAGTTAAAAGTATAGATTACTAGATGCCCACAAGAAAAAAATACTTTGTGAGATGTCAGCCTCTCGGTGTAGACCAGTCAAGAACTACTATGACTCTACTTAATTGATATAAGGTATAATAATAAACCCCTTCATGGATTATTCCCTTGTCATGGCGAAGGGGCTTGCCTAGCTCAATGAAGCTATGAGCTATGCTGTGCGTGGCCACCCAAGATGGACAGGTGATAGCAGAGAGCTCTGACAAAGCATGATCCACTGGAGAAGTAAATGGAAATGGACTCCTGTATCTCTGCCATGAAAAGTATGAACAGTATCAAAAGGCAAAAAGGTATGACGCTAGAAGATGAACCCCTCAGGTCAGAAGGTGTCCAATATGCTACTGGGGAAGAGCAGAGGGCTAGTACTAGTAGTGCCAGAAAGAATGAAGCGACTGGGTCAAAGCTGAAAGGACACTCAGCTGTGGATGTATCTGGTCATGAAAGGAAAGTCTGATGCTGTAAAGATCTATACTCCATAGGAACTTGGAATGTAAGATCCATGAATCAAGGCAAACTGGATGTGGCCAAACAAGAGATGACAAGACTGAACATCGACATCTTAGGAATCAGCGAACTAAAATGGACAGGAATGGGTGAATTTAATTCAGATGACCATCATACTATTGCAGGCAAGAATCCCTCAGAAGAAATGGAGTAGCCTCCATAGTCAATAAAAGAGTAGGAAAAGCAGTATTTGGGATCCCCAAAATGATAGAATGATCTCAATTCAAATCCAAGGCAAACCATTCAACATCACAGTAGTCTAAATCTATGCCCCAACCACTGGTGCTGAAGAGGATGAAGTTGACAGGTTCTATGAAGCCTTACAACATCTTCTAGAATTAACACCAAAAAATGATGTCCCTATCATCATGGGGGATTGGAATGTTAAAGTAGGAAGCCAAAAGATAACCGGAATAACTGGCAAGTTTGGCCTTGGAGTACAAAATGAAGTAGGACACAGGCTAATAGAATTTTGTCAAGAGAATATGATGGTCATAGCAAACACTCTTTTTCAACAACCCAAGAAACAACTCTACACATGGACATCACCAGATGGTCAACACAAAAATCAGATTGACTATCTGCTCAGCAGCCAAAGACAGAGAAGCTCTATACAGTCAGTCAGGAGCAGACTGTGACTCAAATCATGAGCTTCTCATCACAAAATTTAGGTTTAAATTGAAGAAAGTAGGGAAAAGCTTTAGGCCACTCAGTATGAACTAGAGAGTAATAGAGGTGACAAATAGATTTAAGAAATTCGATCTGATAGACAGAGAGCCTGAAGAACTATGGATGGAGGTTCTCAACGTTGTACAAGAGGTAGCAACTAAAACCATCTCAAAGAAAAAGTAATGCAAGAAAGCAAAATGGCTGTTTGAGGAAGCTTTGCAAATAGCTGAGGAAAGAAAGGAAGCGAAAGGCAAAGGAGAAAGAGAAAGATATACCCAATTGAATGCAGAATTCCAGAGAATAGCTAGAAGAGATAAGAATACCTTCTTAAATGAACAGCGCAAAGAAATAGAAGAAAACAATACAATAGGGAAGACCAGAGATCTCTTCAAGAAAATTGGAGACATGAAGGGAACATTTCATGCAAAGATGGGCATGATAAAGGACCAAAATGACAGGGACCTAACAGAGGCAGAAGAGATTAAGAAGAGGTGGCAAAATTACACAGAAGAATTAAAAAAGGAACAAGCTTAATGTCCCTGATAACCACAATGGGGTAATCACTGACCTCGAGCCAGACATCCTGGAATGTGAAGTCAAACAGGCCTTAGGAAGTCTGAGCAACAACAGCTAGTGGAGGTGACAGTATTCAAAACCTTAAAAGGCGATGCAGTAAAAGTGCTACATTCAATTTGCCAGCAAATTTGGAAAACTCAACAGTAGCCACAGGATTGGAAAAGGTCAGTTTACATTCCAATTCCAAAGAAAAACAATGCCAAAGAATGTTCAAACTACCACACCATTGCACCAGGGGTGGGTTCTACTTACCTTTACTACCAGTTCATCAGCTTTGCTCACATGTGCGTTTGCTCTTCTGCGCATGCGCAGAAGCTTCTGTGCATGTGCATAAGCGTTTTGGTGATGTCAGGGTCGGTGGGCGGGGCTCCCGCCGGTTTTACTACTGGTTCTACAGAACCAGTGCGAACTGGGGGCAACCCACCACTGCATTGCACTCATTTCACATGTTAGTAAAGTTATGTTCAAAATCCTACAAGCTAACTCCAGCAGTATGTGGACCGAGAACTACCAGAAGTACAGGCAAGATTTTGAAGAGGCAGTGGAATTAGAGATCAAATTGCCAGCATATGCTGGATCATGGAGAAAGCTACAGAATTCCAGAAAAACATATATTTCTGCTTCATTGACTATGCCAGGGGTGGGCAACTGTGGCCCTTTTACAACTTGTGGACTTCAACTCCAAGAATTCCTGAGACAGCTTGGCCACAGTAAAACGGCCACAGTTGCCCACCCCTGGACTATGCTAAAGCCTTTCTTTGATTGTGTGGATCACAACAAATTGTGACAAGTTCTTAAAGGGATGGGAGTACCAGACCATCTTATTTGTTTCTTGAGAAACCTATATGTGGGTCAAGAAGCAACAGTGAGAACTGCACACGGAACCACTGATTGGTTCAAAATTGGGAAAGGAGTTCATCAAGGCTGTATACTGTCGCCTTGCCTATTCAACTTATATGCAGAGCACATCATGAGAAAGGCGGGGCTAGATGAATCAAAAGTTGGAGTTAAGATTGCCGGGAGAAATATCAACAACCTCAGATATGCAGATGATATCACTCTAATTGCAGAAAGCAAAGAGGAACTAAAGAGCTTTCTGATGCGGGTGAAGGAGGAGAGTGCAAAAGTTGGCTTGAAACTCAACATTAAGAAAACTAAGATCATGGCATCCAGCCCTCTCAATTCTTGGTAAATAGATGGGGAAGAAGTGGAGATAGTGACAAATTTTATTTCCGTGGGCTCCAAGATCACTGCAGATGGGGACTACAGCCAAGAAATTAAAAGATGCTTGCTCCTAGGGAGGAAAGCTACTGCAAATCTAGACAGCATGCTAAAAAGCAGAGACATCACTCTGCCAACAAAAATGTGTTGTCAGGGCTATGGTGTTCCCAGTTACAATATATGGCTGTGAAAGTTGGACCATAAGGAAGGCTGAGCGCCAAAGAATTAGGCCTTTGGTGCTGGAGAAGACTCCTGCTAGTCCCTTGGAGTGCAAGGCGATTAAACCAGTCAGTCCTAGAGGAGATCAACCCTGACTGCTCTTTAGAAGGCCAGATCCTGAAGATGAAACTGAAATACTTTGGCCACCTAATGAGAAGGAAGGACACACTGGAGAAGAGCCTAATGCTGGGAAAGATTGAGGGCAAAAGAAGAAGGGGACAGCAGAGAATGAGGTGGCTGGATGGAGTCACTGAAGCAGTAGGCGTGAGCTTAAATGGACTCCAGAGGATGGTAGAGGACAGGAATACCTGGAGGAAAGTTGTCCATGGGATTGCGATGGGTTAGACACGACTTTGAGACTAACAACAACGGATAATAATAAAATCTTAAAAGGAGACAGCATTTGTCCTTCTGTCCTTCTTATACTAAAGAGTAAAAAAAAAAAAAGACAAGCTTATTTTGTTAGCTGTTGATTGGTTGGTTTAATTATGCTTTTATGATTTTGTTGTATAACGGCTTGTAATTTCTGGCTGTTTTTGAAATTAGAATTATTATAGAATTTTGAATTATTTTGTTATTGCCTTGTTGAAAGATATTCCTCCTTTCACTAAATTCACTGCAGTAAAGAGGGTTGTTTTTGTTTACTTTAGGGCAATGAATAATCCCAGCTATAGTAATCTTCAAGTTGCTTTATATCTTTCTTTGTTATGGGAACCTATCCAATTGTGCTTTTTTTCCCTCCTTATGCCTTCAAGTTGATGTTGATTTCTGAAACCTGCTTAGATGAATCTCTGCAGTTTTCTTGCCAAGAAGTGCTTTATTTTATTTATGTATTTTTTTATTTATTTTATTTATGTATTTTTTTCAAGGTGGCAAACAGTATCTTCCTCCTCCTATTTTTCCCACCACAACAGGTGAGGTGATTTGGGCTGAGACAAAGTGCCTGTTCCAAGGTCAACCAGCTGGCTTTCTAGTCTGGTGCCTTAAACACTACATCAAGCACTACATCAAGCTCTTTGTGGCTTATTAGTGTTATGATACCCAGGCTGCAAAATACAAGCACTAAATAGCACTTGTGAGAATTTTCTGTATTTTGTTGCTGCCTTATCATTGTCACCCCAATCGTTGCAGTTGAGATGAGCCAAGGTTAAGATCATATTTATGTTCTATATCCTTATATTTGAATCTTGTAAGAACAGGGATTTTATATATAAGAAGCAGAAATTGAAACACAGGGCCAAAAATTTTGAGGACATTAAATAAAAGCTGGTAACACTCGGGTTCGGTGTCCACCTATTTTTGACACTTTCAAAGAAGAAAGAATTCGTAATGCAGCATGACAGAAGGTAGATACTGAGTTAACGGGTTACATGAAAAATACTACCGGTTACATGAAAAAAACTTCTGAACTTTTATAAGGTATACATGAGTGTACGGAGCTATCTAGGCCGCCAGGTGGCAGTACTACTGTTCAGAGGCCGCAGCGGTCTGGGCGTAGCTTCTGTCTGGTGGGGAGTCAACTCCGCCCAATTCCCTCCCTCGAGGTCGACGTGCCTCCAGTAGCAAGCGGCCGCTCAGGTGTGGGCGTGGCTGCTGGAGAAACCCCTCTCGCTTTTGCTCAGGCAGCCGGTGATTACGGTGCCCGGCTCGATTTTACATCGCCCGTCTTTCCTGGTCGTCGAGAGGAGTGGCTGCCCATCCCGCTGGCTTTCTGGCAGCGCCATGGCAGAGCTGGAGAGCCTGGAGTTCGGCAAAGCAGATTTCGTACTTCTCGACACCGTGTCTATGCCGGAGTTCATGGCCAATCTCCGATTGAGGTACAGAGTGGATGGCCCGTTTGGGAGGGTTGGGGGGGGTGGGTGGGAATCTCCGTTGCCCCTTCCTGCCCCCATTCCAGGGAGGAAAGCAGCAGTGGCATTTGGAGAAGGAGGTGGCGGCAGCAGGTTTCTTGCTTTCGTTTGCCATGGAAAGTAAATTGGTTTCATTTCCCATCGCCTATTAAATGAACCCTACTAAAACGAGTATCCCCTACCCAGTAGTGACTGGGAGAAACGCAAAGCAGGGAGAAAAGCTATTTATTATTTGTATGGTAGATCACCATGAAATCCTACAGCTGCTAGGTAGATCAGGAAATTAAGAACCCAAAAGACAAGGCAAACTACTTCTGTATTCCTGCCAGGAAAACTACCTGGATGTGGTTGGGAAGTCATCAGTCATAAAGTTCAATCTAACCCTCTAATTTAAACATTTGGACAGTGTGTTCATACTGTGTCATATGCATAATCCAGCTGAATGAAAAACAATGGGATTGCTTCTTGGGACTGTTAAATCCCAGCTATTATAACTAATGATCAGGAATCCTGGAAACGGTTATAATCTCTGAAGCAGCCTGGCTCAACTGGTTGCTTTCCAGATTGAGTTGAAGTTGGAGGGAGGGAAGGAGAGGGGGGTTATGGGTTCGGGAAGAAAGCATCATCCCTCATTTAAAAGGTTGCAAGGGTTGAGAGAGAGAGTTGTTTACTTGTGGCTTCATTGTGAGCAAAGTTGAAAAGTTTGAGTTAAAGACTTCCTGATTCATACCTTAGTTTTTATTCAGTGTGTTAAACCCACTTGGGGAAGTATTTATATCTTTACTAGATTGGGTTTGAATGTGGAAGCCTTGCTTTTAAATAGTCTTAGAGGATATTGACTGATATGGCTACTGTGTATTACTCTATTAATTCTTGCAATAACATCAGTCAGAAAAATTCTTGCTGGCCCACTTTTTAATGTTATCTTCAAGCCTTCCAGAAGTCTATTCATAGAATTTAGCTCTATCCACAGACTCCCTGGGATATCTGCTTTTTATAGGATTGAATTTTGGGGTTGAATCTTGAGTAGCACAGCACCCTATCTCAGTTTTATATCCTGCCTTAATAAAAATCACTCAAATAATGGCTGAAATATCCAAAGTGATTTTACTTCTTGGAAGTAGAAATAAGTTTTTATAGTACGCAAAGAATCTATTAAGGGGAAGAGGGCGATTAATTTTTTAATCCTATGATATATTAGAATCATAAAATTGTCTAAAATTTTCATCTCCAACAGTTTACATAATCCAGACTGGACAATATCACACAGGATAGGCAGATTGCAGAAAAGATCCCAAACACACACACACACACACACACACACACACACACACACACACACGTGTAACATGCAACAATAGCTGTCTTTTTAAAAACTATCCAAATTGGAAAATTAAAATAGAGCCTATTTTTGTTATAAAATATTTCTATGGAGCACATCTCTACATTGAAACATCTGGTACTCTTGATTATTTCTGAGTTGGAAACTGAATGTATAACCCAGTTTATAAACTGAGTGGGTGAAGAATCTCTGGCCTCCAAATGTCACAAAATTATAAACCAAAGAATGCCACCATGTTGACTGGGATTGTTGGGAATTGGTGAAACTTACTCCTGGTGAAAATCTATTTGGTTTTCTGGTTCACATTGTTGATTTCAGTACAATTTTCAAAACAGTGACTTCGTTTTGGATGATATATGAATTATGGTGGTTCTTTAATAATTTGCCTAAATTTAAGTATGTCACCTGGAATTGGAATAGTCACTATGTGGCATGTTTAAATGTTCATACTGGAGGAACTCCATGTATATAATAATGACACAAATTATTCCATTAATCAACACAGAATGAATATGCCTGTGGCATGAATATGCTTGTGTTATATAGGCCTTTAGTCTAATTTATATGACGTAATCTACAGTTCAGATTTAATACATCTGGTTTGCACCATTGTCTGGAATAATTGTCTTTCAGCTTGTTTTCAAGAATCTCTCAACAATCTGTTTCCCGTAGACACTTCAAAACCAATGTCTTGTCTTTCAGAACCTCAGAAAACCATCTGAAATTCCAAGAGAAGTTCTTTCTCTGAAGTCAAGCAAGTGCTTTCTCTCACAGACCAGTTTGGGGGAGAGGGGGTGCAGCCAGCCAGCCAGCCAGCCAGCCAGCCAGCCAACACACACACACACACACACACACACACACACACACACACACACCTTGCTGTTTTACTGCAGGGCTTTTATAGCTCCTCTTTGCTAGGCAGCTGAGCTGGCTAGGGAGGGGTCTTGAAGGGGCAGGACACCATCAACCCAAGTGCTAGTTATGTTTACTGTCCTCTCACACTAGAATTGAACAGTGCTTGAATAGGGAGCAATTTAATAATTATTGCAACTCCCAGTCTCACTAGATAGACCAAATTAAGAAATCAAATCCACAGGAAGGCTAAAAAACATCTTTTATTGAAATTGGCTACAATAATGGAATCCTGAAAGTCTGATTATGTTGTACCTCCTCCTTATTCCGTGAATTATGAAGGTGTGTGCTTGAACTATTTCTGTTTTGTTCTGGACTTTAAAAATGTGTCAGCTCCTTTTATCTAGGCAACAGCTGCTGCATACAGATAGTTCTTGATTTGCAATTCACAATTCATTAAGCAACTGTTGTAAATTACAACAACACTAAAAAAAGAGACTTAACAACCAGTCTTTGCACTTCAAGCATCCCCATGGTCCGTGATCACAATCTCAGCAATTGACAACCAGCTTGTATTTACAATGGCAGCAGCATCCCGGGAGTCATGTAATTGCCATTTATAATCTTCTCAGCCTTCTGACAAGCAAAGTCAATAGGGGAAGCCAGATTCACTTAACAACTGCATGATTCACTAAACAATTGCAGTGGTTTGCTTAACAATCATGGCCAAAAAGGTCATAAAATCAGGCATAACTCACTTAATCACTTTGTTTAGCAATGGAAATTCTGGTCTCAATTGTGATAGTAAATCAAGGATTACCTGTATCTCCATCAAAATCAGTTTCCTTACTCTCTACCCACCAGTTGGACCAAGTACTTTATAAGAAATTTTAAATGCTTAAAATGTAAACCTTTATTACCTTTTGTGCATGCACTGCCTGACTTCCCCATGGCAAACAGTTGTGTTGGAGTTATTTCTTGACATAGTAGGTTAGATTAGAATAAGGACAAGATTTCTAGCAGCTTTACTGCAAGGATATTTTCTTCTTCTTTTGCCTTAACAAAGAAAATACTGTTTTCCGTAAGGAGGCCAGATCATGAAGGTCTATTAGTGATGTTAGCTATGATAGATTGGTAAAGTCTTCCTGTTCAGAAACAAGACTGCTAGGTACTAAAGGCCAAATGAAAGACCTATTTCTTTCATATTTTATTTGAAAAAGTTCTTGCTTAAAAATTAAAGCAGGTAACCGAACTCCCTTTCAGTTTACCTTGTATAGCTGCAGGTAAAGAACATGGTAATGTTGCAATGCAACGTCAGGAAAGACATGTTGCTGATCCTGTCTTAAAGCCATATCTTTATTCATGTGCATAATAGTTGAATTCATGTACATCTGTAAATGTCGCTATATTGGCTACTTGTTCTTCCTACTTCTTGTTATATTTCTAGTTTTGAATGAAAAGGCTGTTTTTATGGTGAGTTTTGACAAGAACTTATGTTAAAGGAAAGGGAAAGAAATTGCATTTTTGAATCATATTTATTTAGCTAGCCTCATAGTTGGAAGTAAGGTCTATTGGCAAAGTAAGTTCTTTGCTATTTCCTTGAAGGGTGTATTTCACTAAACACTGCTAGGTCAACATTCAATGTGTGACTCAGAGATGGAAAGGAAAAGAAACCTTTAAGTAGAGCTCTTAACCTAGACAGTTAAGAGTTATATATCATCTTGGATTCCAGAGAGTAGAAGTTCAACAAAATAAATGAATAAAAGTGGATTAAGACAAAAAGTTATCAGTAGAATAAATTAATGCATGAATAAATTAACACTAGGAAAAGTGAATTTTTGCAAAAATTGCCCAAAGTAGGTTTCCCTGTATTGATTTTATTGTGTATCATTGTTTCTGCTGCCTCTTAAGGTGAAACGGCATCTACTTTCATTGCCTCACTTAGCAGTTTTTGTTAATTTGGGTTTGGGCCTAGGCTCTTGGGTCTAGGTTTTTGTCAAGGGATATCTGGAGGTTGGTTTGTTTATAATTTTTGCTATTTTATCAGTGATTAAAGTAACAGCTATCACTTTCCCTAAGTGCTAGTACAGTAACTATTGTCCTTCTACTCTAACTCACACATATGAACCTATGACCTAATATGATATTTCATTCAGGCATTTCAGAAAATAGAAAATAGGATTCAGCAACTATTTTAGAGGAAAACTCTGTTCGTGTTATCCTAAACAGTGTTGTGGCCATTTAACAATGGAGAAAAAAGTTATTGGGACTCAGGCAGCATACAAATTTGATTTTTTTAAAAAAGGGAGTAACTACTTGCTGCCACTGTGAAATTAAGATGACCCCCTTCTCCCCATTTTTCTCTTACACCAGATTATTTAGCTACAACTCAACTCACTAGTAACCTTGCCATCCACAGTGCTGGTAGGACAGAACATAGCAAACTAACATCTATTCCATTTCTCCACCATGATTGTGGTTATTATGTTTAAGAACTTTAAAAATACTTTTATGTACAATGCAAACATACAACCACATCAGCACATAGATGAATGATCAGTGTTTGATTAAATTTGTTTTTACCTTTTAAAAAACAAAAAATGAAGATCTGCCTAAAGCTTATAATTATGATCATGTTTTTGCAGTTTTCTTAATACTGATGGTTTCCCATTGCCTATTTGCTTTTTAAAATGTGAAAAACATGCTACTTTTGATGACCAGGTAAAACACTGGAAGAAAAATAATTTGTGATGCTTTTGCTTTTTTAACTGGA